CCAAAACAAATGGCGTTTGCAAAGCCTTAATATAAAAACAACGAAAAGGGCCAGATTAATCGACCGGCGAATATTTGCTTCATTAGCATATAGAAACATAGGTTTCTCCGTCACATCGGAGTTGCAGTCACCATTTATCAACGTCTTTATTTTAATTAGTTTATTTTTACTTTTATCCTACCCAAGCAAATATTAATTAATTAAAAGCAAAGAAAAGAAAAGTCAGGCCACATTGTTCTCCGCCTCTTTTCTTTTCAAAGTATCCCGAAGGAGAACTCAGTTCAAAAAGCCGAGAAGAGAAAAGTAAAGAATTAGGCTTTCTTTGTTAGAGAGATTTTTGTTTAAATTGCTCATACTATGGGATCTGCTTCGATTGACCCTGCTCTTTTGGATGATATCATATATCGTTTATTGGAGTTTAAGCATGCGAGGCCAGGGAAGCAAATCCAGCTGATGGAAGGTAAGATCCGTCAGCTTTGCACCGTTGCATGAGAAATCTTTCTTCAACAGCCTAATCTTCTTGAACTTGAAGCTCCCATCAAGATCTGTGGTACGATTTTGTTACATTTTTTTGTTTTTCATTTGAATGATGATCGAAACCCATGTTTTAGGTCTTTGGGTATTTAGTTTTTGGCTTCAGGTGTTTGAATTTTGATTGTTTGAAGGAAAGTTGTAAGAATTCACCCCTTCTTAGGAATTTGATTGAATAATGGAAAAGTTGGGATTTGTTTTATTGATTTTTTAATGATGTATGTCTGTAGCCATAAGAGCTGGTGCATTGAAGGTTTTTGCCTAAATTTTATTAATTTAAAATTGATGTTGATGCCTTTGTTCTTGGTATGATTGGTTTCTTATCCTGATTTCCTGTTTGAAATTGTGGTCTAGAATAGGTTGCAAATGAGGTTGAATATGTACTTCATTAGCTATGGATTAACTCTGCTATCCATATCTCCTGAATTAGATGAGATTGATGGTCCATGTGAAAATTTAATCCTCTTGAGAAATTGCTTCTTTTGGATTTTCATAGCGTTTTAATGCTTGAGAGGGAGGGCTAGGGCTACAATCTAGATAAAAGGATGCTTAAAATGGGTTTGCTGCTTTTCTTTATCTTACTTGATATTGCGCCGGTTGCATGCTCAAAAGGATTGCAGGAAACCATTTGTTGGTGGCTTTTTACATGACGGACTAAGAGAAGACTATATAAATGATAGAGCCACATGATTAGTAAAGAGACATAGAATTAAGGAAGTTTTCACTATAAATAAAGCATAAGAATTGCATTATGTATAAATGTTTATCTTAGACTTAGACAATGATGATGTATAAGAAAAGAAAATGAGGTGACAGTTATGTTATTTTTTTTATAGACACAGTTATGTTATCATTGCTGGAATCTAGGGAGGGTTTGAGAAGATCGTTGCAAGAACTCATCAACAAACATGATATTTCTCTGATTTTATTGATTTCATTAGATGATTAAATTGATGATATCAGGTTGAACTTTTTAGGAGGATAGAACGGATTGATCATTAATATACGCCCTTTAAATGAGTTAAAATAACTACATGGAAATAAACATCTTAGTTTATTACCTTTTCCTTTTACAATTTCTAAGTTTTGGAGATTGCAAGTCTATGTAATATAGGAATAGTTCCCTCGCAAGCATTAGATTTTTCTGTTTCAGTCTAGTGCATTTCATTTTTCTATGTTATATACATGGGGTTTTTCTGATGGCTTATACGGGAAAAGTTAATGTTGGGTGCTTGATTGACCAAACTCAAAGTTCTTATCTATTGAAAGCTATATAAGATGTTTATTAAATTCAATGGTAATGAATCATTTATGCCATTGGGACATATTCCCTTATAAATACTTATAAGACAAAATGATTGTTCATCTTTTTTATGTCTATGGTAACTTTTGAAGGATAGTACCAAAAGCAGATGAAATAATACTTTTTTGGCTTGACTTGGTGATTCCATCATGAAGAGATAGGCCCAAGTAGCCTGCTGCCTATTAGTTCCACAGTTTAGAGTTGTTCTTGAACTAACTTCACTTTCAATTTATGTGGAGGTGGCATCAATTTCAAAGTGTTAGAAGTAAAGAAATTAGAATGGAAGCTTTATATTTGACATGTTACTTTGAACATCATTTCTGGAATTACATCTTCCTAATTCATAGAAATTTTAACTGTGTTTTAAATTCCTTCTTTCAGGGGACATTCATGGGCAGTATGCTGATCTTCTGCGGCCTTTTGAATTTGGGGGTTTTCCTCCAAATGTTAATTATTTTTTCCTCGGGGACTATGTTGATCGTGGAAAACAGAGTCTAGAAACAATATGCCTTTTGCTAGCCTATACGATCAAATATCCTGAGAACTTCTTTCTTTTGAGAGGGAATCATGAATGTGCCTCTATTAATCGGATTTATGGATTTTACGATGAATGCAAACGAAGGTTCAATGTGAGACTTTGGAAAACATGTACTGATTGTTTTAACTGTCTTCCGGTGGCTGCTCTAATAGATGACAAAATATTGTGCATGCATGGTGGTCTTTCCCCTGATCTAACAAATTTTGATCAAATTAATTTAGGAGTATACCCCTACCAACTGATGTTCCCGATTCTGGTTTGCTTTGTGATTTACTTTGGTCGGATCCTGGTAGGGATATCAAAGGCCGGGGTATGAATGATAGAGGAGTCTCATTCACATATGGCGCAGATAGAGTCTCCGACTTCTTAATGAAAAATGATATGGACCTTGTTTGTCGTGCTCATCAGGTTAGGGGTGTTTACTCTTTACTTCATTCTTTGCATCCAAGTTTAGTATAAGTAGCTGATCCTAATGCTTCGTTCAGGTTGTTGAAGATGGATACGAGTTATTTTCTGACCGGAAGCTCGTTACCATATTTTCAGCTCCGAACTATTGCTGAGAATTTGATAAAGCTGGTGCGATGATGAGTGTTGATGAAAGCCTAATGTGTTCATTCCAAATTCTTAAGCCTGCAGATAAAAGGTCCAGGTTCATTCGAGGGGCATAATGACTGCTGTCTCTGTTCCTACGAAGAATAGCTGATGTAAGTTAGTTTTTTTTATTACAAAAACCTGGTTACTGTATTGTGGCAGTGGTTAAACAAAACCTTGAAGTTAATTTTCTATTTTCTATAGTTCGAAAAGTTAATTTCTTATGTTTGTGTGCTACTTGTCATCGTTTGTAGCATATGTCATATGTAGGGATGGGCATGGGACCCGATTCGGGTTTAGGGTGAAAATACCTGACTCAATCGGGTTCGGGTCGCGTCGGTTCGGGTTTTTTAAAGATGGTGTTCGGGTCGGGTCAAATTCGGGTTTAGGGTGAAAATACCTGACCCAACCTGGAAAAAAAATATAATTTTACCTTATATATATTTAGGAATAATTATAGTAATACCCCTCTATATATATATATATATATATATATATATATATATATATATATTATAAGAATATATATTTTTATAATTTCGGGCCTGGTCGGGTGGAGGGTATATATTATGCGAATCGGGTCGGATTTCGGGTGGAAGAGTCATTGTTCTCAGGTCGGGCGGACCAAAAATCCGACCCAACCAGCCCATGCCCATCCCTAGTCATATGTGTTTTATTTAATTTTGGGGTTTCTTTGCTCCAATTTGTAAGAACCAATCTGTTGGAGTTATACAACAAATCTCAGGAGAACTGTTAACTGGCTGATTTGGTTCAGAATCATTTTTTATATTATTGACATGCTGGGAGCTCTCGAGACTAGTTATAGCAAGTGAATATTTATATACCTGAACTTTATATTCCTTTAGGTAATTTACTAATTATATATGTAATTCCTACTCAAATAGAACTTGTCAGTAGGCACATAGTTATTGTGTATTTTGATTTGTTGTTATTAGCTATAACTATAATTTTCTGTGTTTTATATACATGTTATTTTTTCTGGGAATTCTCATGGAGTTCTATGCATATTCATGTTTTAATAAGCATGGAACATTTAGGGTCTGCTTGTTTCATTGAAAGCAGGTTTTGGAAATGAAATATTTAGTTTGTTTCATTGAAAACAGATTCTGGAAATGAAATATTCAAGGTCTGTTGTTTTCAATTGTTTCATTGAAAAATGATTTCCGTATAATGAATTACATTTTATTATACATTTTCTAGAAATCATTTTACAGCGTTGAACTAATGCAATCACAGATGAATGGTTTGAAAGATTGATTGCAAACGTTTCATTGTCTGTGGTTTGTGAACCTAATTTATAATTTAGTCAATGCTGATATGGTCATATTTGTTGCAGTCTCACGTGTGATTTAAAGAAGAAATCTTCAAAGGATTAGGTGGTGTTGGTGTTGGAGCTCCTTGAAGATCTGACCATATCGTCTCCCATGTCAAAAGGGTGCACAGCTCATCTGTTTAAACTATTTTTAACCATATGAAATCAAAGGGCAAGGCATGATTGACGTATGGCACCTTTGTTTTCTTCCCCCCACCCCCTTTTGTCGGACTTGATATCTATTGCCATCCAGATTCCTTCTCTGTCGATTTGCTTTTAACAAAAATGGTGCCCAATTGTCCGTTTACCGTCAGCACATGAAATCACTCATCGACAAACCAAACTATGTTCGGTTCCCTTGTTTTTTCGTCCATTTTAATTTATCAAAATTAAAGTTCAACGGGACATATGTTTATCACATGAAAGAAAAATTTATGTATATTTTATATCATTATAAAAAAATTATTTAAATTAACATTAAATAATAGTACAATATTATAAATATTGATAATAAATTTAAACAAAAACTTGAATAATTTAATTTAAAAAAATTCAAAGAAAACTTAATTTTAGGTGTCATGCGACTGAAATCCCAAAGTTTTCTACGACAGGTGGAAAAGCAACCAATCATGATTTTTATGAGAAGGTATTCTATATCTGAGGAGAATATGAAAGAAATTGAAAATACTGATACTCCAAATGGGCTAGGTGGGTGTCCTCAAATCAACCACGACAACAGTAACATTGTCGGTAGTACGCCTGGACAAGGCCAGCTCTGTGAGCAACATGGAGGCGTCATTGCACGACTTGTCCGATATCCCTCCTCCATCTTCCACCATGGACCCTACTCCTCCCTCCGGCTGAGCCTTCAAACACATGCGCCCCACGCTGCATGCTGTTTCATTTGACACCACGTCCCATAAGCCGTCGCTCGCTAGAATCAAGCATTCATCCTCCGCCGTCCGATCCCTAATCGTATCCTCCGGCTCACAGCTCACATAAGGTTTCAAGTAGTTATCCCCTGTGCCACACAATTTTCCTAAGTGGTCTTGATATCATGTTAAAAAGGTGGGGTACATTACTTGTTTTGTCATGACTCTATTGCTTAATATATATATTTTTATTTAATTATTATTTTTCCAAAATTATATTTTTGGTTATGTTTTAATAATTCAGAATTAGAAGATTAATGATATATTAGCGTATTAATATGTTTTAATTATTTATTCAAAAGCATACTAATGTTATGTTTTAGTTATGTTTTAATCATTTATTGTTAAAAAATTAACATTGCTATTAATGTGGTATTTTTTTAAGTTATCGTAGTATATTTTAGGTTATTTTTTCAATGTTGTTGTGGTATTATTTTATGGTGATATGTCAACATTTTTAGTTTTTAATGATGTATCACCAAATCATAACCAAAATGTAAGTTACTATAACTTAAAAAAATAAGTAATTAAGACATTTTAGTATAATTTTAAAAAATAATAATTAAGACATTTTAGTATAATTTTAAAATAATAATAATTAAGTGTCTAAAATAAATAGTAAGTAATAGGTGCATATTCAATAAGTAATTTAACCTAAAAAGTTTAGTTCAACGGATAGGGAGGATGATTTACCTATGGCTCTGGACATTGCGAGGACTCCAAGGACACGAAGACAGTCCGAGCAAAGGACCCGACTCCCGGCTTCTTGTATACGGTTCAGCTCATCCGGACGATCAGACGATCAGGCTGTGAACATTTTCGTACACAAATCATCATAATTACACAGTGTTTTATCTATCATAAGGAACGAACTATTTCTTTTAGGTGAACGGCATTTTCTCGGGAGCCAAACAGAAACGGGCCGATTACCAAATCTTAGACGCCAAAATAGTGGAAGCCATTGGCGGCGGAGTCCTGGCCTTTGCACTTTGCAGTGAAACGACGGATGAATAGAGACCGCGTCTTCCATGTCTCTTCGACGTCCGCAGACCGAAGCAACGCAAATTTCGGATATGACTCTGAATCGATTGTGATTGCAGCCATTAAAGGCGATGGAATTGTGTGACTTTTAACTGCCGTTCCTTTGGTTTTTGATCTTCCATTTTTCTTGTCCACATCGAAGATGGAAGAATTGTTATCTCCAACGTTTTCACGGTCTAGAGCACACGCGGCTGCCTATGCTTGGAGCTTGCGGCGTTTCCGGTGATTCTCGGCTTCCAATGGAGTGAAACCAACGAATTTAAACCGTCTAAATGTCATTCTACGTCTCCTCGCTTGACAAGAAGTCGGTTGGCACGGTGCTGATTCTTCGCCTTCGCTCATCAGTCCGCAGCAGATGTCCGCCTTAACAACAAGTAATTAACATGAAAAGTTCCGGGAAATAGGAAGGAGAAGAAGAGTGACGCGTGGTTTATATGGAAATTGAAAAGAATGTAGGAATATTTGAGGTGAAGGGGGCGGGGTACGTGGTGAGGAATAGGATAGTGGAGTGCATGTAGGCATAGTGTTCCAGGTTCAGGGCACGCCTTTCACAACATTTGGCATGCGCATGCAATGAAAGGGAAAAAAAAAGAGGCAGAGGGCAGCCTCTTTCTAATTTCCATTTTTTTTGTTTGAATTAATCTAGACTACATCCTTACATGAGGATCATCTTCATGTTAAACCTAAGTTAGGCGGAGCTATCTCACGCCAGCAGTTTTATAATTAATATTGAAATTATTATTATTATTATTAATTTTTTCTTTTTTTTTTAATTTTAATATTTATTGTTAAATAATAGTTTATAATCATCTAAAAAAAAACTTTATTTCATGATGCACAAACTAAATGGCCTCAATTGTTAAAGAGATGATTGTTATCTTTAAAAGTCTTGAGTTTTGAGTATTACATATGCAAAGGTGTTTGAGCGTTTATCGTCAAATAGTTAAAGTTTTAAAATAAATATTACATTATAATCACCGAGGTTAATAAACGAAATTTATATTTTATAATAAAATACTACAAAGCCATTTAGCATTTATAAACTATAATTAAAATGTTTAAAAATATTCTATATGTAAATTTAGTTAGTTAATCGATCACTCGATCTAGCGATTTGATAGAAAATATCAGTTATTTTTATAAAAAAAAAATATTGAAAACTGTGGGTCGAAAATGTGGTCCGTTAAATTACACGAGTTCAAAGGTTCAGTCTGAGTTAAAATATTAGCTCAAGTCAGGTATCCAAGATTTTGTTTTCTTAATTTTTTAATCAAGTAATTAGATTAAATTATTTTATATTTAAGTATTTAATTTTATATTTAAATATGCATATATAATTAATCGATTTAAATATCTAAAACCGATTATCAAATCAAATTAACTATCTAAACTAAATAAATTGAATTAATGGCATAAATATATAATAAAATATTTACTTATACGTACGCATATTTCTTAATGAAATTTAAACTTTTTACATGGTTTTTTTCTCTCTAAATTATATGATCTATAGAAAAAATAAACTTTAATTGTATTTTTAAAATTGTGTTTGCATGTGTTTTTTATGTAACTAAAGAAATTGTGTTCTTTATTTTTTACTTTTAAATTTTATATTCAAATTATGCAAATTAGAATTTTAAATTCTATATTTAGAATATATGATTTATATTTTAGGATATTTCATGGGTCAAAATACAAGCCAATTTTTTTATTATCACAAAACTAAATATTTATTATACTTTCAAGGAATAACCTTAAAAAATTATCAAATTTTCATCAGAAAAACTTTCAAACTAACTCCCGCGCTTATTGGAGTCTCCAAGGAGCCCCATCTTTTAAGTATAGGACTCTGAGTCCACTACAAGTCATAGACAAAACATCTGAAAGGCTCACGTGATATACCAAAATGAAATTCAAGATCTGACTATCAAATATGTCTAACTAATTAATCTACAAACAGTCATGATTACCATATGATTAACACCACCAACTAGGATCATTATAAATACCCTTAGCCCAAAATTGACAATGGGCTCTTTCTCATCTTCTCATCTCAATCATTCATTTTCTCTCCCACATCTTCTTCGTTCTCTTTTTTTCACTAGAGAATCATCGACCAATGGTCATTCTTGCACCACCTACGACTCTTCGCCTAAATTAAAAGGGATGAACCGTCAGTCGACGCAACCTAACTTGTTCTCATCAACAATTGGTGCAGTGAACGTGGACAACTTCTGATCTTCATACATCACTCAAAAATAGATTTCCAAAACCAAAACAACCAAAATCAAAACAATCAAACTAATCTTATTTATTCTCAAAATCATCCCAACCTACCTTACGAACTTGATTCAGAAAAGTCTAAATAATTGCATCTCTTGCTTTAACTTTATGTTGAGTAGGGATGGCAACCGGTCGGGTTAGAATCTGATTTTTGGTCAACCTAACTCGACCCGAAAATATGTATCCTCCACTCAAACCCTACTCAACCCGAAAATTTTATAACCTCCACCCAACCCGAAAATATATATCCTCCACCTGACACCAATCCGACCCAAATTTTTGGAATATAAATTCGAGCCAACCCAACCCGATAAAAAAAATAAGGATTTAATTAAAAATAATAACTTTTTAAGAAAATTACATTATTATCTTTGGGTCGGGTCGAAAGTTTTTCACCCTCCACTTGAACCCGACCTGACCTCGCCCTTTGAAAAATCCAATCCAACTTCACCCAAACCCATTTTTTTTTTAAAAAATTGACCCTATCGGGTCGGGTAGAAACTCGTCAAATTCAGGTTAAATTGCCATCCTTAATGTTGAGTCTCTTCCCAACAAAAATGTTACTATAGTGCTTCATCATAAGGGACCATATAAAGTTCACTTGCTTCAAAGCTTGGAGTAAGGTATCATCTACTTTAAGATAGAGTAAGTAGGCAATGTCACCATAGCACTGATAATATTTTTGCTTCGTTTCGTATTTCTAGATGCCTCATATGCTTCGCTGCTCCTGGATATCATTTTGTTTAATATTGATTGAAGCAATCAACTAGTTTTGACACTTACTCATCTCGCAAGCTATCATTTTTTTTTATTTCTGCATCTTTTCTAACCACTATCATGCCTCTACGTTCTTAATTCCTACATTGTAAACCTTTTATCCTTTGACGGAAGCTATTCTAATTTGACACCTACCTCAACGCATCTATGTTATAACGATACAATTGATGAAAAACAAAAACAAATAAACAAAACAAAAGAATAAGTCAGTAACGGTAAGTTGATCAATAAAATCAAAATCAAAATATTTCCTACCCCACATACTTTTATTTTTACCCGAACATGATTTCTATCTTGCATGCTTTATGGACAAATAATAAATCCTAACCGTCTACATTTATAGTTTGCATGCTTTGAACAATAAATAAAGGGGCAAGGTAAGAGAACTCGAGCATCCTAGGGTGGGCTTGAATTTTACTGCAACACTGTTTGGTTCTAAAAAGGTATTGAATTATCTTTGTTTGTGCTCCATTGGGTTTTATCAAATCGTCGATCCTAAATCCATCACATGCTTATATGGATCAAGTTAAACTCAATATGATGCATTTCCCTATACCCATATAGAGAATAAATTCTCACGAGAGTATGAGACATATGTACCCCGAAGGTTACTTGCTAGGCATGTACGGAGAATAAATTCTCATAAAGACGTTGCTTTCACCCCACTTAAATAGAGACAAAGCTCGGGTATAGAGCTTAAAAGATGTATTATTCTTTTTTTTTTAAATCTAAAAACCATTGAAATTCACATGTTATTACAACTACTTATTTAGAAAAAAAAACCCCTCGAATATAAGTAACGATGATCAAAAAGATAAATTAAGCTTAAACTTACAACTTTTGCTCCAAAAGATGACCAATAACCGATTTTAAGTTGACTCTCTATGGTCACCAAGTTATCGAAATGATCATTCGAGTGGCCTGAAATTACATTTCGACATAAAGTGAATTTTACTTTTTTGGAGTTGCCACCAACCTTTTTGGATTAGGTAAGATCGGATATCTAAATTTTACCTCTTACAGGATCTACATCTTACCAGAGATTCACTTGGAAGGGTTCGGGATTCGATTTCATGTGAGGAAGGATGAGCACCCCCACATCGTTCTTTCGGTACCAACACGGTTACGAATTATCCTGAGAAAATTATAGTTTAAGCCGAAATTTAATGAAATTATCCAAATTATTTATTTTTGAGTTTTGTTACTACAAAATACAATAAACTAGGATTATAAAAATAAAAAAAAATGAACGATTTAGGTCTAATATACAAAAAGTGAAACAAAAAAAATTGCAGGTGTCAAAATAAAGAAATAATAAGAAGAATCATTGTTCAACTTTAAAGGCATAAATAGAATAAACAAATAATTAAAAGCTTGAATATAAATTGTGAATCTAAAAGATATAAAAATTAAATGCAAAAAGATATAAATATCGAAATTACCAGAAGTAATAAAATAAAATAATAAATATATAAATTAAGAAAATAATAAAAAGAGAAAAATATAAATAATAATAGGTAAAAGGTTCACATATTTTTTTTGGAATTAATCACTGGTATTCGATTAATTGATCGACTAATTCAGATCAAATTTTACAGATGCTCATTACAGGGCCACCCGCCAAACCAAATTTGCTCCATACGCAAACACCAGGATTAATAGTATAGTATATTTGTAACGCAAGAAAAAAACTAAAAGGATAAGAATGAGAAGAATAATCAATATTAATCCAAACAAAATTAAGATTAAAACAAAATAAATTTTCGAGATTCGACGTAGCAAGTAATCCAAATATTTGAATAAGACGTGAATCCAAAATAAGAACGAAATAGAATAAAACTTAAACAAAGAAATAATTCTCTTAGTATAACGTTGAAAAAGCTAAATTTTTTTGTTGATCTCCTAATCTTTTTTCTCTTTTTTTTCCTTTTCAAAATAAGAGTGTTTATCTCAAAAACCCTAAAAAAAAGAAAAAGAGTTTAACATCTTTTAATGAATGTTGAATTATACACTAATTAAAAAACCCTAAGTAAATAATAAAAATTTTAAAACTTAATTTAATTATAAATAATGAATAAAATACTTAAAAATCGTAATAAATTAAAATTCTCGTATTAAATCCATATTCAAATTTTTGTATAGTTTTCTTCACCAAAACAAACATATTTTGAGTTCTCGATGTAGGATTGAGGCGTTTCAAAATACGTTGGAAAACTAACTAAAAATCATTTCTGTTTCAAGAATACAACATGCATTGTAAATGTTTGGATCCTGTTTAAATATTTATTGCAATTCAACTGATATCTCATACATCAAAATCAACTTCAATAAAAATGTTTGATACTTAGGGAAAAAAAAAGGTAAGCGGGTATTACACATCTATCTCGTCCACACCCCCTATAACTAGCTAGTAAACATTTTTTATAAAGAAAACTTTAAATTTGATGTATCAATACTTTCTACATTTTTTTAAATGTGTTTCAGCCATTAGTTTTTGTTTCTTCTCAATATATCTCATTAAAAAAGAAAAGAAAAACTGGATTTGCTAAAGAATCAATCCAACAAATCAAAAGAAAACATGAAATCGTCACTGCATAAACGATGAAAGAGCTTCCATGATCTTGCAAAACACAGCTGTTTCAAGCATTTACAACAGCAACATAGTTCAAAAAGCCAGTAATTCCTTCAACATACCTTCCAATTCAAAGCTCATTTCATAATCTTTTATGGCAAAAGTTTTCCTGCTTACTTTAACAAATGGGCCAAATCTGGATCATCCAAGTCTACATCTAACCCACCATTCAAACGCATGTACTCAATGTAGTGATCTGGGGGTTTTACTGCACTGGGGTTTCTCGGAGTAAAACCGTGAATCCTCTCTATGTCCCGAGCAAGCCATTGAGCATAAGCTTGGTCCAATGGTGGTACAATTTTCAAGATGATCTCTTCTCGTCGTTCTTGCTTCGCAGGCTTGTTTCCCATGATAAAATAACCTGGCCAGATTCAAACAGAAATCAGCCAGAACGAACTCGAAAGTAAATTAATATCGAACAGTAAATGAATGCATGTCTTCATATCTACAGCTCTACAGTGATACTAGAATAACGAGGCATCTTTACAGCTGAATGAATGACCGAAACTTGGGGGAGAAACAAGACAAAGCAAATCAAGGAATTATAAAGATCAAAGGCGATACATTAATATGGTAATTTTATATATTTGAAATCATAAATTAGTACTCAGACCACAGAAGAACCGGTTGATTATAACAAAAGCATGCTGGACATATCATTAACCTCGATAGGGAGTAAAATTTTTAAATCCTTTGATACTGAAGTTCAAAGTGAAGATATCAATCGACATTCATGGAATTTGAAAGCAATTCAACTAACTACACAGATTTGGACATAACTCTTCTCTCCTATCATTCATGCAAAGAAACCATGTTGCCACAATTCCTTCTGTTGCATTAAAACAACAGAAGTAGAAGTCTTTTTAACACACAATCGGTAGAGTTTTTATACTCGAAAAATACCCTACAGGGTTACGAGCGACACTGTTGACCTATTCATAGATTTTAATAACTAATTCCGAACTAACTTGGTTATAATAACTTCCTTAAGGATCCTTTAATGCCATTTCCCCATTCTAATAAGCCCATATAACTAGACTAGAACACATCAGAACTGATCAAAAAGCATTCAATTGCAGCCCTCCTTTACAAGAAATGTCGAACATAAAAGCTTATGCTCTTACTTGATGACATATTGCACCTATCCGGCAAATCAGTCACCAAAAAGTTCCCAGTGTTTGCAATAAGGAAAGGCATGTAAGTTCAGTTGCAAAAGTAGAAGTTTACTTCCCAAACTAACTCTGAAGATCCGAAGATAGAATTGTGCCGGTGACTGCATCGGAATTCTACACTCTTAATTTGGAACAGATTAAACAATACCTAAAGATAGGAAATGTAAACATAGCTAGCAAAATATAGATGATAGAATCTGGCATATTACCCTATAGGCCAAATACATATGTTCCTCGAACAAGAGCTAGCTTCGGATACGGGTGAATAATGGCTATGCATCCAACATTAGTATGTTGAAAGTTAATATGTCAAACGCGTGTTAGGTCATAAATGTTTTAGTGAAGATTGATGAATCCAAGTAACATAGCCAATACAATCTTTTGTTGTTTAAACTGGGTGAACAACTAAGAAGTGATGGAACGAGGAAGGGCGGCTGGGGGCGGTTACCCCGAGAAATTTCAAATTTCTATATATTTTAGATATTTTCTGTGCATTTTCTATAGGTAATCTATTTTCACCCTTAAAGTTTTATAAGTTTACCCTAACATAAAATCTTGTGTCAATGCAATTAAGAACATGCATGGATTCATCTTCATCATTAAAATTCCAAAAAATATCAACACCGTGCTCGGAAGAATACAATGCCCATAACTTTTCTTCCAGATTCTAGTGAAATCTCTCTCAATTACAAATGATTCTCTAATTCCAAATGAAAATAACATCAAAAGTAAAAGGATCAAAGAACAAAAATTTTGGACTGTTCTCAATGAACACAACAATAAATCGATTACAGTAAAGGAGATGAAATGAAATGTTGACTTTTGATCATTCGAGGAGATAAGATGACTTACCGATGGAGTTCCAATAATCTCAGTGGCAACCAGCAGAGGAATGAGATAAGGCGTGAGATGAGGAGATCCGCTGGCTCGCGACATCGATGTGCATAAATGAAAAAGAAAATCCTTTCGAAACGGCATCGTTTTATCGCACCAAGGAATATTTAATAACTAAAAATATTCGATTCATCCTATATCTTTGATTTAGAATTTTTCAATTAAAAAATATTAAGTAGGTGAAGATTTATTTTATCATTTATTGGTTCATATATTTCATATTTTAATTTTATTATATTAATTATTAAAGGACCTAAATAAAATATGGTTTAGAAATATAAAAATATTAAGTGGGTCTAATAAATGGGTTTAAAAATCTAATGAAAAAAGAGTTTTAAATCTAAATTTGACCCAACTTAAAACATTAAAAAAATTAAGAGGTTTAAATCAATATTTTCCAAAAGTTTGAAGGGTTCAATTTGTATATTTCTTCCAAAAGATAATGCCTAACTAAAAAATTTTGAAATTTTGAGAGGCTTAATGACAATTTTTAAAAATTATGGGAGGAGGCTTAATCAAAAACATTAAAAAATTATAAAGTTTAATATGATTTTTTAAAAAAATAAAAATGCCAAATTAAAATTTTGAAAAGATTTAAGTGTTTAAATTATAACTTTTTAAATTTTCGAAGCCACAACCCCACTAGTTCCTCTTGTGTTCCACCACTTACTCTAACTTCTCTAGTTTAGTGGTAAGTATATATCGACTCAACTCGAAAAATCAAAATTTTTTAACTCGACTCAACTTGAGAAAATTCGACAAGAATTAACTTCAAGCTGTAAAGTAATGAACTCGACTCGACTAAAAAAAATTCAAGTTCAAATCGAGTAGTAAAATACAACTCAAATAACTCAAATTTTTTAGTAATTAGTAGATTGATTTTTAAGTTTGGTATATCACATATGAAAAAATGTATATGTATTGTATATGGTTATAAATAATCATTTAGATTGGAATCAAACAATATCATAATATTATAAATATTTATAATTAAATTTAAATAAAAACTCAAAAATTCTACTCGATTCGACTCAAAATTTATAAACTCGACTCGACTCAAAAAAAATTTAAGTCAATTTCGAGTTATAAAATAAAACACATCAACTTGAATAACTCAAAAATTTTTAACTCGACTCAACTCTATCTAACACTCACCCTTATCCACCTGATTTAGAGTTTGGACTATGGCATTCGTACTTTCACCCTATGAGGGTGTTTGGTAACCAACTTCTTGAAGGGGTTTTAGCTTATTTGAGCATTAATAGGTTAATGATAGTCAAACCTTCTATTTTAGTATTTGGTAAACACCTTTTTAAAAGAGCTTATTATGTAAAACAAGTTGAAAATAAAAACGTTGGAAAATCCAACGGTTTGGGAGAACTGATTGTAAAATAAGATGTTAAATGATACATTTGACCTTATTATTTTCATAATTGCATATTTTTCATAAAACTTAATCTAATCAAATAGTCTCCATGCTAATATATTTTAGTGAATTTTTATTTTATTATTCTATTTTTTAGTTGTAGGTTCTCAAATATATTTTAGTTAATAAAATATAGGAAAACATGAAAGTAAAAAATGTAGTATTGATATTTTATACAAGGTTAACAATATGTATTAATCTCATAAAGTTAATATTTGTAAATATTAAATTTAAAAAATATATTCACTAATTTTCTTAAGGAATTTTTAATTTCTTGTCAAAAGTATTTTATCAGAATAATTTCACCCCAATAAAGACTAAAATATTATAAAACATATATGTACTTAATAAATAAATGTATCATACCCTTATTTGTCATTTTACTCATATCATCTATCAACTAAATTTTACCAAACACTTCTATACAAACAATTAATCAAATCAGTTTTTCAAATAAGCTAATTAAATCAGTTGGTCAAACTAGCTATTAAAGTCAGCTACCAACTATCAACTATCAGTTTTTTGCCAAACACCTCCACAGTTACAGGTGCTACTGAGCATGTGCCCTATCCACTACCAAATTAGTAAATATTACTTTCTCCGCACTATTACTTTTTCTTATATTTACTAAACATATAATTTTAAGAGATAGATTTAATGGTATGTCAAATTATATAAATTTGTTAAATTTTTAATTGTTATTCCATTGATTTTTTTTCCTATTTTGGATATTTTAATTGAATTTGAATATACAACATGCATTCATATATAATTTTATGTTTTGTTTTGTTTATATTTGTCACTGGTCTTTTAATAGTTTAATTTCCTACTATATTCATTTGTCGTAGCAATTAATTTGTTTGTATTTATCTATTGTTCAATTTTTATAATGAGTTTTTCATCTTTTTATTGTATAATCTTTGCATGATCTTAATTCTTGAGTGATTAGCTTTTATTTTAATAATTATAAAAAATATTCTAATTATGTATTTAATTTACGATTCTAATTATAAATCTCCATTGTAGTTTTAAATATTTCTTTCTTTCATAATGAAATTAACTATCTTTATTTCTAAAAAAATCATACACACTTGTAATTATCTATGAAATAATTTTTAAAATAAATAATTTAATATAAAATAGTTTTCATCCATATCATAAAACGATCTAATTAACTTGCAAATTGGAGATCCTAAGGAGTTTTATGATAAGAATGACCCAGACTGTTACTGTGAGCTAAGAAGCAGTGCACTTTAGGTAGTGGAAGAGCCCCGTTTGGCATAACATACATGCTACAGTACTTCTGATCATATTTTTGGTCATCTCTGTCCTATTTGGTATCAGAGCCAGACTCATAAATTTATTTATTCATTTATAAAGATTTTTAGGAAGGAAAAACCCTATATCCATGGAAAAATTAATTTCAAATCCCTCTTCTTCTAAATCTCTTGTTATTATGAGAGATTTTCCTTTAAAAATTCATGTTTATAAAAAGATTTCATCTCTTTATGAAGTAAATTACTATGAGGACGAAAAGGTTCAACCTACTGAACTTCCTCTTGTAAATCCATATTTCACTTATAAAAAACCATCATTTTCTCCCATTAAAAGCATCAAATCCCTTATCCATACCTCATCCAAGAGAGTAAAAGAATATGTTCAGTCTTCCCGTTTTGATAAACACTTTATTACGGGATCAAAAATAGAACAATTTGTCACTTCAGAAATTCCCCCTGATTTCCCAGGGAAATTGATAGAGGTTGGATATTCCCATATCCACTTTGGAGCAATACGATTGGCCCTTAACTATCATGGCACAGAAGGCAAATCAGTTGTTGCCAGAATTACTCTACTTGATACTAGATACATGAAGTACAAAAATGCTTGTATTGGTACTGTTGAGGCTACAATGAATAATGGCCTAGTAATAGTTACTCTGTTCCCAAACTTTACTATGGCCCTTGCAGATCTAAACCTGGTGAATGCCTTGAAGGTCCATATCCATATAGTTGGAGCACCACAAGTTGATTCCTCCATTAGTGCAACTTTACACTACCAGATAGTCTACAGAAATCAGGATCATGCTTTTAAGCTCAATAGAAGTAGAACTGGAGACTCGCTGCTCATTTTAGTCAATACACATGAACAATTGCATTGTGTTCATATTCCTCGACAAATTTCAATAAAGGAATTGATCCAACTGTTAAAAAAAAATAGGTAACAAACTATGAGCAGATCCATGAAAAAAACAACTAGTCAATTCTACCAACAACCAGATTATCACTAAAAGAGATAGAACAACTGAAATCAGATTTGATCATTGTCATCTAAAGACTTCACCAACACCATCAATTTTCCCTACTCAATTGATGATGTTACCCCTTGGAGATCATAGGGAGTCTCATGATAAGAAGGACCCAGACTGTTATTGTGAGCTATGCAAACCTAGTTTTGAAAGCTCCTACATAGAAAATTTGATGCATCAGGGAAACTAATTTACTTGAAAATAGATCTAGTTACTGGCCATAGCTCGTAGGATCTTGACTGTTCATGCAAACTATGTGCTGAAGATAATCTCCATTCATGGCTTGATGGAATCTCTCACATAGCCTATTACCCGCACAAGGCAGGAACCAAAAGAAGAAGTCCTCACATTCCAACCTCTATAAAAGATACATGTAAGGAGACCTACTATTGGACCACTTCGAGAAAACAATGGAAATTCCAATTTCTTGTTGACTATTCACACAAGACTCCTACACCAACCTAGAATATTCTCATATCTGCTCCACCAAAACCAAAATCTCCACCACCACCACCTTCAACAAATCCATAAACCTTAATCTAACCTTGTTAAAAAAAGATCCAAAAATGGATAC